AAAGATCTATACAAAGAAAACTACAGAACACTACTACAAGAACCCAAAAGACACCTACATAAATGGGAGAATATACCATGCTCATGGCTAGGAAGATTTATCATTGTGAAAATGTCAATTTCAACCAAAGGAATCTACAGATATAATGCAATCCCAATCCTAAGTCTATCATCTTTCTTTAAAGAGATGGAAGACTGATCACCAACTTTACATGGAAAGGAAAGAGACCCCAGATAAGCAAAGCACTACTTAAAGAAGAATTGATGCTTTTGAGTTGTGGTGCTGGCAAAGAAGGCTGAAAGTACTATGGACTGCTAAAAGAACTAATTAATCTGTCCTGGAGGAAGGGCAGCTGGAATGCTCCTTGAAAGTGAGAATGGCCAGACCTCATCCCACCTACTTCAGTCATGTTATCAGAAGGTACCATTCCCTGGAGAAGGATGTCATACCTGGTAAGGTGGAGGGTCGACGAAAGAGGGCAAGGCTCTCAACGAGATGGATTGACACAGTGGCTGTGGTGATGGGCTCAAGTACAGCAGGGATCACGGAGCTGGCGCAGGACTGGGCAGTGTTTCGTTTTGCTGTGCATAGGGTCGCTATGAGTCGAAGAGAACTGACTCAAAGCACCTAACAATAACAACAACAACAACTAAAGAAGAACAAAGTAGGAGGCCTCACACTTTCCAATCTCAAAACCTTCCATATAGCCACAGTAGTCAAAACAGCCTGACGTTGGTACAATGACAGACACAAAACCTAAAGGTACAGAATTGAGAACCCAGAAGTAAATCCATCCACTATGACAGCTGATCTTTGACAAAGGGCTGAAACTCATCAAATGGGTAAGAGATAGTCTCTCTAACAAATGGTGCTGGTAAAACTGGGCATCCTCTTGCAGAAAAATCAAACAGGATCTATATCTCTCACTTCAGAAGGAAGGCTGGGCAATCTATTTCTGTAGTGATATCGCTTGGAAACCCAAGGAGGGGTCGCTATGAGTCGGGCCCGACTCCACAGCACATAACAACAACAACATATCTCTCAATATACACAATAACTAACTCAAGATGGATTAAATACCTAAAAGTAAAATGTAAAACTATATAGGTCATCAGAGGGAAAAGAGAGACAAACTTAGAGACCCTAATACATGGCATATACTATTAAATATAACTACAAACATACAAACAGCAGAAAACAAACTAGATGATTAGGATACCCAAAAAGTAAACATTTACGCACATCAAAACACTTCATTGAAAGAGTAAAAGGAGAACCTACGGACTGGGAAAAAAATTTTTGGCAATAAGATATCTGACAAGGGGCTAAGCTCTAAAATGTATGAAAAACTTCAACATCTCAACAACAAAAAGGCAAACAATCCAATTATAAAATGGGCAGAGGACATGAACAGACACTTAAGTCACCAAAGAAGGTATTCAGGTAGCTAATAAACATATGAAGGAACATTTGCAATCATTAGCCATTGTTGTTGTTGTTGTTATGTGCCATCGAGTCGACCCCGACTCATAGCGACCCCTCCTTGGGTTTCCGAGGCAGTATCACTACAGAAGTAGGATTGCCCAACCTTCCTTCCGAGGAGTGGCTGGTGGGTTTGAACCGCCAGCCTTCTGGTTAGCAGTCAAGTGCTTTAGCCACTATGCTACCAGAGCTCCTCATTAGCCATTAGAGAGATGCAAATCAAAACAACGAGATGCCATCTCATCTAGCATTAATAGCAAAGTTCAAAACACCAGAAAATAAATGCTGGCAAGCGTATGGATAGACTGGAACTCTCATACACTGCTGGTATGATTGTAAAATGGGGCAACCACTGTAGAAAATAGGATGGCGCTTCCTTAAAAAACTGGAAATAAAAATATATCCAGCAGATATAGTACTAGATCCAGCAATCTCACTACAAGGTATATATCTTGGAGAAATAAAAGCTGTGACAAGAACAGATATATACACACCCATGTTCATTGCAGCATTATTCACAATAGCAAAAAAAAAAGGAAACAATCTAAGTGTCCATCAACAGAAAGTGCATGAATAAACTATGGTACACAATGGAATACCACACAACATGAAAGAATAATCAATCTGTGAAACAACTCATAGCACAGATGAACCTGGAGCACATTATGCTGAAATCAGTTAATCAAAAAAGGACAAATATAGTATGACACCACTATTGTAGAAAATGAAGAAAAGGTTTATACACGTTTATACACATGTTTGAGAGAAACATTCTCTCAAGATTAACAGGGCTGGGAAGGAAAGGAAGGTAAATCACTAATTAGAGAGTAACTTGGGTGAAGGGAAAGGCAAAATAAAGTAAGGAGAGATTAGTACAAAATTATTGAGGCAAAGGAAGACACTAGGAGCAACACAAGAGTTAAAGGCAAAAAAGGTAAATACTATTTTACGCCTAATCCTGCAATAACAATAAACCACAAATGGATACATAGATAAACTACCCAATCTGAAAAGGTGTGGAAAAGCAAACGGGATTATGCCCACAAATATATATATATAGGTTCGACAGAGGATATTTCTACATATGTATTTGTATGTGCTACAAATATATCCATGAATACAGCAGAGCATACATGGGGCAAAGTTATGAAAACTTCTTAGCCATAACCAAACACCTTGAGGGAACGAGTCACTGGGCCTGGGGGCTCAGGGGACATCAAGACAATGTTCTACATCCTATTTTGGTGAGTAGAAAATGGGGTCTTAAAAGCTTGTAAGCAGCCCTCTAAGGTACAATTCTTGGTCTTTCCCCATACAAAGCAAAGCAGAGTTAAGAAAATCAAAGATGCCAGGAAACAATTAGTTCAAAGGACTAATGAACCACATGAACCCCAGCCTCCATGACCCTGAGACCAGAAGAGCTGGATGGAGACTGCCGTGAATTGCTTGCTGTGGCCCTTCTAGCCATTGTCCTCCATTCTGTGATGTTTTGTAAATCCCATTATCTATGCCTGTTTGGGGTTGTGTGGTAGTTAAGGTGAGGTATCAACTTGGCTGGGCAGCTGGTAGTAATCGTTCCCTATAATGACTGGCAGTCGGCTCTGTGATGGGATTTAGGTTAATTCTGTTGGGGCAACACAGGTGGAATGTATCTTGAATCCTGCCTTGCTGGAAGGTATAATTCAAAACACCACCCTTAGATTCTTTGAGGGTATACCTACGAATCTCCTGGGAAGATTCACCCTCCTCTTGATCGGGCTTTGTGTCTTGGATCATCCTCATCTCACCCCTAGATTTGGGACAGCAGCCGTCATCTGATCTGCTGATCGAGGTTCATCAAACCCCGAGAGTTGGGAGGATCCTCCAGACCTACTCACGGACCCGGGACTCGCCAGCCTGCCAGCCTCCACCACTACTACGTGAGACGAACCCTTGGGTGTCTGTGAGTTCTGTGAGGCGTTACAGCGAGATACAGAGCCCTAAGATGAGGGAAATTACTGGGAGGAGGAGGAGGAGTTAATGTCTGAAATGATGGAGTGGTACGGTAGTTTGGACATTTGGGACATCTTTAACCTCCACCTTACGGGGACTGGCCTTGTGCTGATCTTTCTGAGAGAAACCGTTCAAGCAGAGACCAACTACCATTACTGATGCTCTGAAAGAAATCACAATAGCAAATTGTGGATAGAGTGAGAGAAAAATTTGGAACAAAATTCAAAAGCATAAAAAAGACCAGGCTTACTTTTCTGACAGAGACTGGTGGAACCCATGAGACTATGGCCCTCAGACACTCTTCAAATCTGGAACTGAACTCACCCCCATGGTTCAACTTTCAGCCAAAACACAGACAGGCATATCAAGTGAACAATAACACTTCTGAGAACAATCAACTGTATGAGATCAAAAGGACAGCATCTGCAGAGACCTAAAGCTTAGAAGGCAGGAAGGGGCAGGAAAGAAAGATGAATGGAAACAGTACCCACAGGGAGGAAGTGGGAAGGAAGAATACTGTTACAGTGTGGGGATTGTAATCAATATCACAAAACGTATGTGAACTGTTGAATAGAAAACTATGTGCTCTAAAAACTTTCACCCAAATCACAATACAAAGTTATAAAATAAATTTGCCACTTAAACAATTTTAAGCATCTATTTGAAAATATCATAAATGTCCTCAAGGAAAAGTAACAAACTGAGAGAGAAAAATATATACAAAATGAATAGAAAGAATTTATATAAATCAGTACATAACAAGCAGTTCACACAAAAATAAATTCAAATTGACTGTAATTTAAAATATAGAAATGAAATGACTATGAGATACCATTTTTCACGTATCAGATTAGCAAAAATTAGGATCTGATGTTGTGTTAGTGAGTGTCTTGGGGAAGCAGGAAATCTTACTTTGGTGTGATGACAAATATCTGACAATAAATACATAAAATTTAAAATTCATAAACTGACCCAGCAAATCTACTTGTAGGAATTACTTCCAATACGTATACTTAAAAGAATGCCAACATCACTGTTATTTAAAGGACTCAACTAACGTGAATCAACATAATATATGCATACACAATACAATGCAATATTGTAGAACTGTTAAAAAGAATGAAGTAGGCCTTTAGATGCCTATGTAGAAAGATCTCCCAAATATTAAGTGAAAAAAGCAAAGTACACCGCAGCATATATATTTTCCTTCTTGTACAAATAACAAAAAGCACATACACACTCTTAAATAACCCAAAATATATAGAGAAATACTTTTTAGAAAAAGGCTCTGAAAAGATAAGACACTTTGCTTTAGAGGAGAAAGATATGGTGGTAACAGAAGCTATTAACTATTATTCTTCCTATTACTTTTTCAAGGTATCTATTAGGTTATCTGCCTGGTAGAATTATGCAACTACTTCCTTTTGTCTTTATTTCTTTAATTAAAATAAAACAATAAATACATAATAATTCCTATTAAATGTTTTACATAAATTTTTAAAATAGACGATCTCACTACTACTAACCTTGTTCAATACGAGTAGCCAGATAGAGCATCTCACCCTGCGCAGCCAACTGGTGGACAGACAAGGCTGAAACAATACCACAAAATGCTTCATGTCCATGTGGAGGGCACACTGTCATCATTCTGTGGTTCACATTGTTGAGCAATTTTATTTTTCAAAACAAAAACTATCATTTTACTGTTTTAAAATACGACTTAAAGGACACGTTAACATTCTATATCTAAGAATTAGCTCTTATGTTCATTTAAGATCATTCTGACATCTGCAAATTGCTGTGTTCAATTTATTCCAAAGAAATTATTTGTTGTTGTTGTTG